GCGGTCATCCGCGGGCCCTCTTTGGACGCCCCTCCTACGTACGCTTCTAGCCATTGCCGTATGGCTGTTGACGGCGAATAGGTGGGGCGTAACTCAGAGAGAAAGACCTCTTCGTCTTCCTCGTCCCTTCCTACCGCCCGTTCGTCCTTGGTGGGGAGCGGAGGGCCGTAGGCCGGTATGGCCGCGCGCGGTGGCAGGTATTCCTGCCATATCCCCTTTTTTAGCCTGGTAGCATGGCTCTTCGCTTCAGCCTCTGCCTCCTTAACCTCGGCAATGGTAAGTGGAGGAATGAGGTGTGAGACACGCAATAGGCATTGCGGGGATTGTTTAAGGTGCATCTGGACTCTGGGCACTGCACCAAAGAATTTCTGGCATGCCAGACAAGAGGTTGTCGGCGCGTAGTGGCGTGCAGGGCTGATGATGTTGTGAGTCCGGGCTAGATGCACACCCAGGTGTTTACGGAGGCGAAAAGCAGCCTGACACATGGGGCATGGGTAGGGCTTCGGGGCCTCAACCGGCTCGGGCTGGGGCGTGACAGAGCCCGCCGCTCGCCATTTGACGAGATCACGGTGGAAGCTGCGCGCTGCAGCGACAGTTTGCCTTAACCACCATCTCGGATCTACGTCAAGGGCCTCAAGTATGCCTTCGACTGGAGAGGAGGCTGAGATCAAGCCCTTAACCTCGGGCAGAAACGCAGCCACAGTATGATAATCTGCTTCCAACTGTGTCAGCCAGGCAGTCGAGGGTGACTGTTGCCAATGAGCATACAAAAGTGTGCCCAAGGGTGTCGGGCCTGCTCGAACAACCCTGGCAAGGAAGGTGGCTCTTGCCCGTGCCAGCGCCAAGGGCGGAGGTGCTGCTTGGGCGAGCAGCAGCACCTCGTAAGCGTGCACATGATGGGTGGGGCCAGCTTTGGCGAAAAGATTACGCCACAAGCTAATGTACTGCTGAGCCCAGAGTCTTTGGTGGATGGAAGCTTTAAGTTACAGCGCCGCCCCAGTATGAGACAATTTGGATATCGCCAAGGACCTCAAAAGGGCCCTCCTGATGCTGATAGGTGTGCCTTTATCAGCGAACAGGCGTGCTCGGAGCGGTTTGACCACGGCGAGGGCGCGCGCAAACCTGAATCGGAGATCCGGCCCTGGTTTGGCATCAGCTGTGACAATCCCACCCAAATGCTTATAGGCCGTCACGACGGGTAGGCTGTGATGGGTCACAAGCAATCTATTCTCAACTCTGATGAAGGGCTCGCCGTCAGCGTTCAGCTGTATCGGCTGCTGCGTGGGACTGATCCAGCTAGGCAGAAGAACGGCGGTTTTATCCCGGGCATATGTGAGATGCATGCCCAGGGCTGTGACTCGCTCTGCGACAATACCTGCTGCTCTCTGCACTCTTTCCAACAGAATGGTATCGTTGGGACCCTCGACCGGCTGCACGAAGTCGTCCGCCCAGGCAGGGCATCCCCACCCGCCCGTATCGGTTGCGCGAGCCCAGTGGGGCGGGTTCTCCGGTTCAAGGGGAACAGGGAGTAAGTCGGATTGGGCTAGACTTTCGGTGATGCTGCGCAGCATGGCTGACATGACAAGGCCGAACACGGCGTCCGCAGCCGGATCACCTGGCCTAGTGCCCCTCTGCGTGAGGGTTCCCCGGTAGAGATCCTGGACAAGGGCCGTTAAGTGGTCTGATGCCCCGAGTTTGGGCAAGAGAGCAATGCCCTCGAGTTTTTCACGCAACTCAGCAATGGCACCGTCTGGTATTCGAAGGGCATGAAGGAAGCGCAGTAAGCTCTCGTCACTGGCAGTGCTTGGTACGACCAACTCTCGGATGACGGAGTAAAAGGCGGCTTGGATATCATAGAACACAAGAGCCCATGGCCGTTTGTGACCCTGGTGGAGTTGTTGAAACGACTGGGCAGCTAGCGCGATATGTTCTATGCCTTCGCCTGGCACCGCACCGGCCTGCATGGCTGGGCAGTGAGCCATGAGCAGGTTGACGAGTCTTG